ATATAAATTTTTGATTTGAGATTCATATCAATAGCTCTTAATTTTGTTTTAATAATTAATAATTGTATATTTTTAATGTTATCTATATCAATTTCTGGAGGTGGTAATTTACCTTCTGTATGTAAAGCCCATAAATTTGGATCTTTTACATCTGGATCCGGTAAATTATCATATGTAGGACATATTTGATTAGCAGAACTTGGTTTAGGATTTCCTTTAACACCAATCATAACAGCTTCCAGTGAACGATTTTTTTTATATCGAAAAGAAATAGATGCCCAAAGAAAATTTTAATATTTATGATCATTAATATTTTTAGTGAATGGATAACCTAATGTATTTAATTTTTTCATTGGTTCTTCACTTGAAGGAAGCATTATTCCACTTATCAAATGAAATACAATATCATCACTTGGTATTAATTCTTTTAATTGTTGTGTAGTTAAAAAAGCTTTTCCTTTTTTTAAACGTCCAACACGACCTATTTGTTGAACTATACTTGCAACTGATAAGTATTGAACATCTTTTTCATCATAAATCCATCTTTTTGCTCCTGGTCCTTTTCCTAATTTTTCTAATTGTGTTTCTCCAATTAATATCACATTATCAACATCAGGACTAAATTCCATTTCATGATTAATATTTGCTATAAACAAAGAACCAGGTGGCATTCCTTCAGTTATACCAGATACAGCAGATGAATTTGTATTATCAAATATTACAAAAGGTATATCACTTTCTTCTAATAATTTAAATTTTTTTGGTGTTAATCCTGATTTTAATATTGGTTCAGCATCAGTATCTTCTTCACCATTTATTTTTCTAGGATATTCATTTGCAGTTGTTCTGAAAAATATTTGTGTTTTTTCATTTTCCCATTCTGTTTGATTAGAAAATTTAGTTATAGAATATACTTCTCTTGGTTTTGATGTTGATATAGAAAAGTTTTTTTTAGGAAATGTAGCACTCATTAATAAAGTATTATATCCCATTCTAATTATTAGTGGTTGTACTACTTGATAACTTGTATTTGGAAAATGTGCTTCATCAAATATAATAATAGTATTTTCTTTATCTATTAATTTTTCTTTTATTTCTTTTAAAGCTTCATCAAAATCATCATAATTTTTTTTAGGATCTTTTAATTCATCAATATTTACTTTTTCATATGCAATATATCTAACTAAATGATGTAATTGTAATATTGATAATGTTGATTTTCCTAAATCAGCACTAGATTTTTTTTCATATTTTGGTTTTTTTTTATTAGGTTTACCCTTATCATCATTATCATATCCAATTAATTTATTCCATGATGCTAATTCTTTATTTTTTACTATATATGGTAATTCTCCTTGTTTTCCATATATGACACATTTGTAAGAAATACCATTACTATATTGTAACCAGGTATTATGATGATTTTTAGCATCGGCTGCTAATTCTTCATTTGGTGTTATCAATATAATATGTTTTCTAGGAAAAATACATGTAAGTAAACATCTTACTACTTTAGTTGTTTTACCATCACCTGTTAGAATAGGAAGAATTCCTGGTCCATCAACATCAACTATTTTAAGTTTTAATTCACCACCTTTTTTAAGTTTTACAGTAGTATCTTTTATTTTAGCAAAATTATCTGAATTATAACTATCATCATCATTATTTTTTAATGCTTTTATATCAAATTCTATTAGATTAAAAACATATGGTAATAAATATGTACCAGCTAATGATTTATCAAGTTCTGCTTCTTTCTCTATAACTTCAGCACCAGATATTGTAATTTTATTAATATTTCCAGTAAATTTAGAATTTTCTATTTTAGCTACTTTTATTTTCTGTTCAGGTTTACTAATTAGAGTATATCCTTTTAATTTATCTTGGTTAGGTAATAGATCATCTCCTTTTAACCATCCATCAAGATTTTTTTCTACTAAATTTTCATCACCTTTTCTTTGAAGAAAATTATCTAAAAATTTATTCAAGAATTCCAGTGTTACTTTCTTTTTCTATTTTTCGAATTTCCATTCTGGTGTTTCATCAAGTGATTTGATTATTTTTTTATATTGATCTGGATCTAATCCATCATTATCAGTTTCATTATTAAGTTCATTTATTTTATATCTAAAAGTATTTCTTTTATCAATTATTGCTTTTAAAAGATCATTTTGTTTTGCACCTTCAGATAAAAAATTGTCATTTAAATTACTTATATTATCATTTTCAAAATCTTCAAGTAAAGTTTTAAATATATTTTTATTTTTATCAAGAATATTTTCAAGTATATCTAATGATTTATCTAATTCAGATTTTTTAATATTTAAAACATTTATTTTTTTAAAATTTCGATATTTAATATATTTATTAATAATTTTATTATTATCATCATTATTATTCTATCCATTTTCAATTGCAATTTCACATTCTGTAACAGTTAAACCAGAAAAATACCAATTTTTTTGTTTTTTTTTTAGAATATTTTGTTTATTATAAAAAGTTAACCAATCAGATTTTATATATATATATATATTTTTTTTTTATGAATGTTAATAGAAAAATAAGTTATTTTATATATTTTCTTTTTCTTTATCATTTTCTTTTTCATTGTCTATTTCTTTTTCTAAAACTAATTTTCGTTCTATTCTAATTTGATGTAAAAATGATTTAGTATTTCCTGATGAAAGATATTTATCATTTAATTCTTCAATATTACGATAAATATCATTATAAAATTTATCTGTTAATAAATTTGAATCTTCACAGTTTCCTATCTCAGTTAAAATATCTAAATAGTTTTGATTTTCTGTTTCTTTTAATTTTTCAATTAAAAGATTTTGTTTTTCATTATAAAAATTATTTAATGATAATTTATTTCTATTGTTTGTTAAATAATTTTCATCAATAGAATTAATATTTTCTTTAAAATAATTTTCTAAAGTTTCAGGTGTTAAGAATTTATCAATATTTTGTTTAATTTCATCATATTTTTCATTATTTTCTTTTTCTAATTTTTCTTTTCCCTTTGATTTATTTATTTTATCTTCAATTAAGTTTGCAATAATTTCTTTTTTATCTCTTGGTAATAATATATTATTTATTACTTCATTATTTAAATTGTTTAATTCAACTTCAGTTTCTAATATATTTATAAGATTATTAAATTTGTTATATTGTTCGTTTATTAATTGATTTAATTTTTCATTTCTTAGTTTTTCTAAATTTTCTTTATCGTTTTGTGATAAATTTGAATTGGTAATTGTTTGATGTAAATCATTACCATCAAATAATTCTTTTGTATTTGTTAATTTAATATTTTCGATTTTTTCTTTCAAATCATTGAAAGAAATAGTTTCAGGTTTTTCAATAGGTTTGAGATTTTCAATTTTTTCTAATCTATTTTTTTCTAATTTTTCTTTTTGTGATTCATTTAAAAATGAATCATTGATTTTAGATTTTAATTTATTTAACTCATCTATATCATTAGATCTATTTATTATATTATCCAATTCATTATATTGATTTTCTATTAATTTATTTAATTGTTCTTTTCTTAATTTTTGTAATGTTGTAATATCATTTTCAGGTAATTTTGAATCAATGATTTTTTGATAAATATCATTATTATCAATTAATTTTGATATATCAGATAATTTGATATTTTTTATTTTCTTTTCAAGTTTATTAAAATTATCAGAACTTTCAGGTGTTGGATCTGGTATTTCTGGAACTTCTTTTTCACCTAATATTTTTAATCTTCTTTTGTTAAATTCTCTTTTAGCATCATTTGATATATTTGTTGATTCTATTAACAATTAAATAGGACCATTATTATTAATATAATTTTTACGTATTTCTCTTTCTGAATTTAGATTTTGTGAAAATAGACTAGAAGAATCTGGTGTAAAAAGTTGATTATGTTTTAAAGCTTCTGATATTTTTAATAATTCATCTAAATATTGGATCATATTAGTATTTTTTTCTAATTTTACTAATCTATTCATATTTTCTAACCATTTATTTTCAATAATTTTTTTTTGATCATTGGAAAATGGTTTTGAATTCCAAAAAAATGGTTCATAAATTCCACCTTTCATAAAGTTTTCAAATCTATTATTTGTTGAAAAATCATCTATTAAAAACTCAATTTCACAATAATTTTGTATTTGTTGTTTTCGTAATGCTATTTGTGCATGTATATCATTAATTTCATCAATATTAAATTTAACTAATTTATTAAAATATTCATTTTTGAATAAAGAATTATATATTCCATCTGTTGTTAAAGTATTGCAATCTACTTCTGTTTCCAACATTTTTATCATTTCAGGTGTACATATATTTTTATGTTCTTGATTGCATTTAATTAGATTTTTCACAAATGTAGATCCTACTAATTTATAAAAATTTTT